AGAGACTTCACTCACAAAACAATTTCAAACATAAAATTATTCATTATCTCAGATGGTGACAGCAGAGCGTTAAACCAAACATGGGGTCCCTTCTGAGTGTGGGACCCTCTGGAAGTACACATGTTTGCACGCCCATGAAGCTGACCCAGCCCATCTGCCCCTTACATTAAGTTCATTCCATGCACGCACAGGCTTTCTGGGATTCTCCCGGGCCACAATTCCTGGGGAGATTTACAAAAGGAGATTCGTGAGACAAACGCAGCCTCTGGCTGCCACAATTGGTCCCAAAGTGGTAACCGATACTCACTGTCTCCCTCCTTCCTTGCCACCCATTCTAGATTCCGTTCACGCTCAACTAGCACTTCTGCGGGTTGGGATGACCTAGACCTTCATCCTTCCACCACTGAGCCCCTGGTTTCCATGGTCTTCTCAGGCTACGTGTAGGAGAACACCACAGGTGTCTCAGTGGGCCACCTCAGTGCCACGCATATTCCTCATGTCCTGATTAAATAGGATCAGCCCTTCCGGTTATGTCAATTTCGTCCCAGGCCTCCTGGTCTACAGGGATGAGAAGCCCTGGTGGCCATGCAGCAGCCATAGCTTTAAGGTTAGTGGAATTCTTTGTTCCTGCCCAAGAATCAGGACATCTAGACCCACAGAGCCTAAAGTTGCAAGCACAAGAAGCCCAAATTCCCTTGGTCACCACCCGTGACAGTGAGCTTGGCCACTCCTACTAGATTTCCAAACCCATGTCTTCTACCCATTGGGAGCACAGCATCACATAAAGGCCATTGCCATCATTAAGGAGTAAATGACATCCTGAAGAATACTGTCCCATCTCACAGGGTTCGTTCCCAAGCTAGTGAAGCGGATGCATTTTTTCGGGGTCCCATCCCACTGCCATCTGAGGTTAACATCTTCTGGATGGCACGGTTTGTGTAGAGCAGTGGATCGCAAAGTCACATGGCCACTGCGATCCTTCTTTTGCTGTGAAGTGGGTCCCTTGAGCTGAGGACGGGTGATGTGGTCTTCTGACAGAGGCCATAGAGTATCTGATTCACACCGTGGGAGACCACACGACGTCGGCTTGGACCAAGGGACCCACTTCACTATCCTTTAATATAGGAAATCAGTGTGACATTTTGTGGCATATCTAGATGGTTCAAACCCCTTTGGGCTATCCTGTTACAGAGAGTGGGAGAATGAACAGTCTTGGGGCAAGACTGAATATACATTACCCGAGAGAAGACAGCCTGCTGCTTCTCCTTCTTCTCTATGTTTCTGGAGAAGAACACATTTTGCATTTCCATAGCTCCATATCCTGGGTGAGGGTGGTGGAAATCTGCTCTGGTAAAGATGCTCCCTCAGGCACGACAGCCACAGATAGGACTACAAGCTGGTTAAGTCTGTATTAAGTGTATGATGGGGACATGATGGGAACCACCATCAAATCCTGAGAGTGGCACTTGGAGAATGTCTCAGATTTGTAGTACTGTTTTTTATTTACTATCTTGACTAGGTGGAGAGAAAGTGGTTGCGAATGGATGTTTCACAAGCTTTTACTTGGCATTTCCTACTAGAAGAACTCTTACCTTTCCTTCCAGGTCAAAGAATCAATGCCCACTGTTAAGCAGATCCATTCCAATGACATAGTCAGGAATTGGAGGAAATAATCAAGGGACGGTTCAGTAAATCTGTGAACCCATTGTAAAAAGGACTTAGGCCAGGACTCCATATATTACCTGACCCTCAGATGCCCTTCTTCTAACAAGGGGACCATGATGGCACTTTGGGTACCTGATTTACACTTGCCATGGTGTTCAAGAATCTTTCTTCATGGGGACCTGGTCTCTTATCCAGTCACTGGGTTCTGGATCCAAGAAGTGGCTCAGGTCTAGGAACTTGACAGAACATCACGTCTTTCCATTGGGACAGCTGACCTCAGCCTTTTGCTAATTCATATCTGACCGCTTTTAATAATATATGTTAAGCAATACTTTTGTTGTCTTCTCGTCTGTGTTGCTCCTGAGAATACCATGTTCTATTAGTCATCTCCACTGAAGATTCCTATGGGTCAGGCCCCCTTGTCTCCTTCTCTAACCTTGCTGCCCCCTATAATAATTATGCCCATCTTGTTTTTGAGAGTTAAGTGCTACCCAGTCTTCGATAGTCTGGGATCCTGTCCTCCACATTGATACCAAAGAGCTCTGTTTCCCAGTGATAGATCCTACCAGCCTACAGAGGACACCCAACACCCAGCTTTTCAGTGATGCTGTTGCCCTTCTCACCAGTTCATTGCTTCTTGTCCCAATAAATAAGGGGTCCTCCAGGCCTTCAAAGAACATAATCGGCTGGTGGGTTTCCTGGTCCTGTATCTTAGGTCCATTCTAGAATGCCTGCTACTCTGAGCCTTGTATCCCTTCCTCCACAGTCTGCTACGGCTGTTCTGGAACCTCCACTCCCTCTCCTCGGGACCACAGCTTTTGCCAAGCTTCCAAAAGCTACTCCAGCAATATATTGGACCCATCTCCCAAGGCTCCAGAGCTCTTGCCAGGCTATTAAATCCCATATTACTGGTGATCCCAAATCGACAAACTCTCTCTATCCAGTTTCATGTTCTGCCTCCTTATTCTAACGACCTCAGGACGCAGACCCATTCTCTCTCAGTTGCTACCTGTACGGGTTAGCCAAGTCCCTCTCAGAGATCTAGCACTTTCCCAGTCAGGTCATGCTGGAACTTGACTCTAATTATCAGGCACATGGTCAGGGTGGGTAGGATGAGCAGATCCTCAGGAAGGTACATGTTTTCTCCCAAGACAGCTGCATCATTTGAGGTTTCCACGTCATCCTCAAATGCGGCAGGGGGGTGGAGTGGAGGGGCTCTACTCCAGTAAGAGTGGGTGGATTACGTCTATGGTCCACAAGCGCTCAGGAGAGCCTCAGAGTTCAAGGTTCCCATGTGCATCACCCATGTCTTAAGGTCCCTCTTCTTCCCCATGAAGGGCCTGACTTGGGCATAGGTGACTTACCTAGGCTGAGAATGCAGGCTTCTCCAAAGTTCTGCAAGTCTTAACAATGAGGTCCTGTGCCTGGTCGTCAACTCTTCCTGCCATCTGCCTAAAGGAGATGAGGCTCTTTAAATCCCCCCAGGGAGGCCCTCTGACTCTCACACTCGGCTTTAAACTGGTGATTGCCCTGAGCCCATCCTCCCTCGTCACAGCATCAGTGGCATTCAACAACTCCCGCCTATTTCCACAGTCCTTATAATTGCTATTCCCCCATATCTCTCAATGCCAGAAACATGGCTGCAGTCGGTGGCTCCCCTCCTGCCTGTATCCTGTCCCGGTTCTCCACAGCTGACAGCTTTAGCAATTGCTCTGCTGCCACATCCCAGGGATCATCAGGACATGTTGCACACGGGGGTCCCTGTTGCCAGCTGAACCGAAAACGCTCCTTCTCCCAAATTGCATCTGGGAGTCTGCTTTTAGGTAAACTGGCTGGCACCAACTGTCTCAGGTCAAGTGCCCTAGAAACAGAGCCCAAGACTGGATTCAGGTGCGTGTGATCCAGTAAGGAAGTATTATTCAGGAAAGCTCTGTAAGGGAGTGAAAGAAACAAGAGGAGGGAGTAAGATGTAGTGTCAGGTGAAACCAACATTGGATTGATCCATGAAGGAGCTCAGAGGCATAAACCGCAGGCAAGGTTGTCCCGTCTGCTGGGAAGACAGGGTCAGCCTTTTATAGCTCTGATCAAGAAGCCACTGGCTGTGAGCTACCCTCAGGGACAGGGGTGGTGGGGGGGGGAGGGGTTGGGGAGGAGGTATGGGAGGGCAATTCTCTAGAGAAGGAGGCAACCGTGAGCTCCTAGAAGCCACACACACAGCAACTGCGGGTGGTGGTGCACCAACCAGGTAAAGGGGATCCCCGAGGGGCATCTAGTGTCTACTGCATTTGTGAGAGTGTTTCTGAAATGTTTGAAAGACATTGCATGTAGACAAGTTTACATAGATATCTGCTGAAACCTAATCTGACGATATAGTTTCTTATTTACGTTTCGGTCTCCAGTGCAAGGTTCTAATCTCCGTGGCCAGGACTGTGTCCTATTCATCTTTGCATTCTAATGCAGGGGTTGGCGTTGAATGGTTGCTCAATAAACACTCAGCAAATGAGCGGTTTGGGGTAGATCGCAGAGCAACTTGAACCCCAGGCTAAGTCATATGGGTGTGATTCCGTTGGCAGTTGGGTAAGAGTGTGAAACGCTTATTGGCAGCTGTGCGTCATGTGGGTTGGATTAGGGAAGGGGTGGAGAGAACGGCCAAGGCACTGTTGTAGTGAGACAGACAAAATGCAACAAGAGGCAGAATTCTGGTGGATGCTGTGAGCGTGGGGAGACAGATGCAAAAGTCATTAAAGTATTATCTCCAGGTTCCAGATGGCCCCAGGCTGACATCCAGGAGAGACCATCCGGGATGCAACCCAACGTGTTACGCGTTTCATACTTCTATGCCTCCAAGCAGATAGAAGAGCGTTTCTCATGTCTGCATGGAAGAAATATCCAAAAAATAAATAAATAAATAAATCCATGTGGGTTTTCTCACTGTCGTGCATAATGAGGCAAAGTCCACGAAGGAAGCATGGGAATATTTTCTATCCTTCCTCATTTTGGCCGGAATCCCACAGTCGTATCTGAGAAAACCCCAGGTCACCAGCATGGAATGTGTCCAATTCATTAGCACGTGGGGTACTTAAGTTTAAAGTGGTTTCCAGTGACACGGCTTGGAAATCAATCACTCTATACAGTAACATATGTTCCAAAGCTGCGGATTCAGCACATCTCAGATGCCTTCTGGATCATATCCTGGCTGGAATAATTTATCCCTGACTCAGATGGATCATGTACACATCAGGAAATATGTACTTTTTTTTTTTTTCCTGAACTCTTTTTTTTCCCTGCTAGGACTTGACTCTAGCACAGCTGAGTGCATTCTTCTCCAATTTTAGGGCTCAGTGACTTTTGGCCAGGTGCCTGCTGTTCACGGTGTTTTCCGAGAACCGGTTCCTGGAAGCCCTACTGCGTGGACTGGACCTGGATTTGCCCGGGTTCTCCCTGGGGCTGGCTTGAGATTTGCCGTCGACCACATTGCCCTTCCCATGGACTTCACCATCGCCATTCGCTATGAGATTCAGGTATCCGACTTCTTCTTCAAGGGTAAAACCTGCCTGAGGTAGTACATTTTCGAACAAAGACTTTCCATTCCAGTCTTACTAGATAGGGTCGTCAGAAAATGATTTGCAAAAAA